GACTTTTTTGGCTTCCCAGTGTGTAAAATACTGCCCTAGGATTTACTGGCGATCTCCAGTCCATGTACTAACAGGGCCAACTCAGAGGTTTTTGAATTGAAACAAGATTGGGCAGTTGCTGTCACCAGCAACACCCCCCCTCCCCATTTCACTGATGTGGGTAGAATAATATGGCTCACTAAAAAAGCATCCAGAACTCTTTCTTCTATTTTTGGAATGATGTCATGAATTATAACGATTCCCCAATATATGTTAGTCCACCTGAGCAATTAGCTATAAAATCCTTTACAATAGTTGCACAGTTAGGAACATGTTGTAATCCAAATATTCTATAGTGCTGGTCATATTGAAAATGACAAATCTCAGTGGCCAATAATCAAAATATCCTCTCTAAGTCTGTGTATACCTTTCTAAAATTAGGGTTACCATGGCTAGGCTTTCTTTGATGCTTGTCATTGAGCTAGTGAGGGCCTAATTTCATATCCTTAACTATAACTCATGGTGATAGTGAAAGTCCTAGATAAGTGCAATATAGGGGAGTTTAATTTAAGGTGGTTAGCATACTTACAGATTACAATGGCAGAGATCTCTGTTACAGTCTCTATTTTGAAAGGAACACTGGGAACTAATAACCATCCACATTGTTAATTCTTGATGGGGTTGTTGTAATTATGATAATTGTTTTCCTGTTATGATACAGGCCTTTTCTGACAAGACGGTTAAGACTCTTGTTCATCTTTGCTACAGTTTGCTGAACAGTGCCTTTGAAGAGTTGGTGGCTTTCCAGCGTGCCCTGAAAGACTTTGTTGCTTTTGTGGATGCTACATATTCAAAGCAGTATGAAGATTTTTATATTGGGTTAGAGGGAAGCTTTGGATCTAAACATGTGACACCCCGGACATTGACATCCCAGTTTCTCAGCTGTATCGTCTGCGTGGAGGGTATTGTTACAAAGTGTGAGTGAAACAGCCTGTGCACTAATGAGAAGTACAAAGCAGCTTTTGATTCCAAATGGGTGGAATATAATAGATAAATGATTCTGCTTAAAAAGCACTAAATTCACTTTCATAACTCCTCCAGTTTTAGAAATTTTTATGGCAGGAGGGAGGAACGGAGGAACATACCTGCTTTCCTGCTAACAGCAGGTAATCCAATGCACTCCATGGACACAGGCTTTTTCTCCAGTGTTTTGTTTCCTGCATTTTGCAAATAACAGAGTGAAGTAGACACTTAAGTGAGATGTGTCCCAGTAAAGCTAAACATTATACGTTCAGGATCACAATGCTGTTGAGAATGTTATTATTCAAGAGCAAAGAACCAATTTGGAAATACTTGTGTTAAATCATTTTTGTGTTTTTCAAGGGCTTGAAGCAGATTTCAATACATTGAAAAAGATCCTGACCTGTGATCTTTAAAATGCTAGTCTAGGAATAGATTAAAACAAATTTAATGGGATTGAATGTGGAATTAATATGAAGAGAACTGGTATGTTACATCAGTTTAAACATGCAATGCTTTGCAATCTAGCATGGGAACATCTGGACCGAGTTCTCTATATTGGCTAGCCCTTTTCTTTATTTCCAGATGCTTTTTTGCTATTTATTTTATTTATTTATATATCAAATATGTAGGCTCTTTGGTGCGCCCAAAGGTTGTCCGAAGTGTGCATTACTGCCCTGCCACCAAGAAAACAATTGAGCGGCGATACACAGATTTGACTTCCCTAGAAGCTTTTCCGTCCTCTGCTGTTTACCCCACCAAGGTGAGCTGTGTGGGTTGAGAAGCCTTTCAAAGCTCCTAGAAAAGAAGTAACTCCTTCTACTACGGAAGGAGTAGACTTGGGTGACTTTGGGCCAGTCCGTATCTCTCAGGCTAGGGTTCTTGCTGGGAAAAATGGAGCAGGGAATACTATAAAGTTGTTTTTAGCTCCAGTAGGAAGGGTAAGGTCTAAATCAAATGAATACAAATGTGTTATATTTTTTTAATATCCTCTAATAACTTTTGCTTTCTAGGCAGAGTGCATATGATTTAAACATTCAAGCAGTAGAAACATGCTATCTCTTGTAAGATGGTACTGATTTTAGTGGAAATGGGTTTAATGTTTCTGTGATGTACTAGTTTAAGTTGGGGGAGAGGTTTATGGAAAAGGCTTCCCACATGTAAAAATGTGAGGGCATTAGGTGGATTCTGTCATGGCTGTAATGTTTTATAAGTGTTATGAGTTATTTTTAAATGTAATGGAATGTTTTGATGTTCCTGCAGCCTAAAATATTCCAGGGATTACTGATGGTTTTATTAAGCCCGTAGAATCTAACAGACCTGATAAAAAAAAGTCGCAGAAGGGAAATGCAGAGTTAGAGTTCAGTATGATTAGTTTCAAAGAACCAGGTGGAATGGCTGTTGAAAAGAATCTGTCCTACGTATTGAAGAGAGTTCAGAGGCTAAACCTACTATCCCAAGCCTCAGCACAGCGGCCTGATCAGTCTGTGCTAAGAACTGTGTTGAATGCTCAATAGTCTGTGCATGCCTCAAGAGATGTCTTACTACAGTGATGGCGAACCTTTTGGGCTTGGCATGTCAAAAATTTGGAAAATGCCTAACTTGGCTCTGCTGGCATGTCACCCAAAACGTCGTGGCATGTCACCTTTGACACGCGGGTCATAGGTTCACCATCACTGCCTTACTATGATATAATAGATGTTTAGTTCAACTGAAATAATTTGGTGGAATGCTTCACCTAATGGGAAAAGATGATGTTTATTAAATTGTCAGATAGACCTGTGCTTAGGCAATTGCTGAAGATATAAACTAACTGGTTCATAATGTCACTAAAAGTGCTTATCTTGCAAAATAGCCTTGTATGATGTAGAAAGTTGTCACTGGAAATGTTTGTATTATCTCATCTCTTAGTCCCATGCAAATCCTTTGAAAGAGGTGCTTTGGAGTACAGGGAAGTGAATCTGAAGGTCCTCATTTCTAATTATTAAAGTATCTAAGTCTTTTTCTAGGTTTGTGAAGGTTCTTCATAAACTTTTCTTAGCTGCCTCCATATCTCTGTATGCACACTGACTTAGCTTAGATCAGTGAAAATAGCTGGGAGTTTCCAGAAGATGTGGCTGCTTTAACAATTCCAAAAAGAATGCTTCATGTCTACTCCTATGTAAGAAAGAAGAGTATTGCTTGCATTTATTCAAACTTGATTAAGCTGGATAATTCCTTCTGAAAGATATAGGAAGGATATAAATATATGTCAGAGTCTGCAACACTCAATTCCCAATCCAAGTAATTCCTCTGGAGACTAGACCATTCCG